GGGATTGGGAGAAATGGGGAATGTGGTGAGGGAAATGCTTCGACCAATCATATTAATTGGCCAGCTAGTCAATTAAAAACCGGGAGGACAGCGTGCCAAATAAGGTTCATCTGAAGACCCTTATCTCGGTTAACATTGTTGGAATGTTTCAGAATTTCCAATCCTTCTCGATGTTTTCTGGCGTAGTAGTTTTGTGAGGGAGCCAGAATGGTTGTTTTGTTATACTGCACGATGTATCCAGTCTCCATCCAATATTCAGCCAAGGCAGATTGAGAAAAGTGACCGTATTTAGTACATCACTGGTGTTCTTTGAATCCGTATACTAATCCTTCTCCTGGTTTCTCCTATATATACTTTTCCGCATGCACAAGGGATCTTATACATACCTGGTGTGTCCAAGTTTGGTTTCTCGTCTTTCGGGTTGGGGAGTAATTATGAGATCGTTTTTGGTGGCTTGAAAATTATTCTGATGTTATGTTTGTTTAGAGTTTTGCCAATATGTTCTATTGTACCATGAATGGGAGGACAACCGTCTTGTTCTTTTCTCTTCCTTTGGGGACTCAGTTTTTTCTCTTTCTTCCTCTGGCTTTTGGGTGTTGTTTGGATCTGAAATTTTGTTCTTCAGTTTATAGGTTATTCGATTAATATCTTTATTCCTGTATCCGTTGTTGGTTAAAGCCCGATTGAAGTGTTCTAATTCTTCATCTAGGGAAGCTGTTTCAGAAATTGTTAGGGCTCTGTAGACCAGAGAACTGATGACAGATTTCTTTTGTGCTAGATGGTGATGAGAGGTTGCGTGTAGATATCGGTCAGTATGTGTGGGTTTTCGGTAAACTCGATGACTTAGTATCGCCATCTTTGTTCCTTCGAACCAATACGTCCAGAAAGGGAATTTGTTTATTTTATTCCACCTCCATTGTAAACTGAATATTAGGATGCTGTGAATTTAGGAAGTCGAGAAATTTGGGAAGCGTTTTCTTGTCATGGCTCCAAATGACAAACGTATCATCCACATATCGAAACCGTACCGAAGGTTTAAGAGGTGCGTTCTTTTGGACTTCATTCTCAAAGTGTTCCATAAAGATGTTGGCAATGATCAGCGACACTGGAGATCCCATTGCTGCTTCTGATGTTTGTTTGAAGAATTCCCCTTGGAACTGAAAATAAGTAGACGTTAGGCAATGTTCTATTAGAGGGAAGAGGTTGTCAGGAAGTTTATCGGATTTGTTAGTGATATTTAATGTATTGTTACACGCGACCGTCTCGCGCGTATCGGGTTCGTGAAATGAGCTAACACAACACTTTTATAAAAGCTGTGCTTTACTTCTAATATTTACAGAGATATTTACAACTTTCTCACGCTCGGAACAGAACTCGAGAATACGATTGCCATACGTCAGCCTTCGATGATGACTCGTGTGCGACTCTCCGCTGTTGTTTCTCCATCGATTTTTCGTCGTCCAGATAATCATTCTTCAACTGTCGAAATCAACACCAGATGCCTAAAGCTCGCGAACAAGGGACGCTGCCACACATTTTGTGGTACGGACACAACACTGCTCTCCCTCTTTGAAAGAAATTGTCGTCCCGACAATTCCTGTGGGCAAGGTCATCTTCCTTCCTGACTCCAGAGATCTCCATGGCTTCTGTCCTATCCTGAGCTGCTGCTACAGGTTACCGGACTCCATGAATTTCCGATCTCAATCAGGGATTTTGAGGATCTTGATTTCTTGTTTCCAAAGCAGCAATTCTATCTTTAGGAGATGATCAATCTCCAGGACTTTAAAAAAAACGATCCGTTTCTACCGCTCCGTCGTTCGTTTCCTCCTTGGCTTCTCTTCGGACAAGGAGGGGGGGAACTACCGTGGACCCAACGTTCTTTTGAAGAACACCCCGAGTCTCTGCCTCGGCATTCGCCCAATGCCCCACGGAAAAATCACGGTCAAAAACCATGAAGGAGGCAGCCTTTTTTCTTTTCTTCCACCCGGATGTTGAAATAATACTTTGAATAATTCTTCTAAGAATTCCTCTCCGAAATTGAACCTTAAATAAGAAAAAATTAACACACAACTTTTGTTCTAAATAATTTTTTTTTCATTAAAAATTTGCGGGTCTCTGATGTCTTTTCCTATTTTCCTTCGAGGATTGAAAAACCATTTTCATAAATATTCTCTATAGTTTTTGCCCTTTCCATCGCTATCTCTAATGACACTGTTCCCTCGAGCTGCAATAAACGCTTTGTATTTTCGTCCGCTAATCCTACAATAAATTGCGCACAAGTTATTTTTGCTCTCATTTCTCTTCCACTTTCTGGATAAACTAAACGCGCTAACCGTTCTATTTCTAACCCATAAGATGTAATCTCTTCCCCGAACTTTTGTTTCTTATTAAAAAGCTGCGTATAAAAATTTTGAAAAAGTCCCTGCTGTCCGAAACGCAACTCTAACCTAACACATAATTGTGTGTAATTAAAATTTTCCTCCATTCCCTCTAAGACCGTCCGAGCTTTTCCTCGCAGATTTGCCGTGAGATTTATCGCTTTAAAATTTTCATTCCAATTATTCGCCCGTGCAATTAATTCAAATTGACAAAAGTATTCGCGTAGAAGCACACTCCCGTCAAAGATATCGGTTTTAATTTGCTTATAAGACGAAGGAATTGGTAGCGACTGGCTTGTAATATTCTGCTGTTGTGTCGGTCTTTCTTGCAGCTCCTCCAGCAAATGTAACCTCTCTTCCCTCATTGTTCGAATCTCCTGAAGCGCATCCTGGAGCACTGACGTCTCCGTTATTAGAGCTTGCCGCCTCGGTTTCCGTTACTATCGGCTCAATTGACCGAGCGCGCTTCCGTCGGCTGGAAACTGCGTAATTTCTTGCCTCGGTTATCATAATGTATCCTCACTTATCACTTTCTCTCACTATCACTCTCACTCGCGGCTCGCGTCGCGATGTTTCGTGTCACGATCCCGGACGTCTCGCGTCTTTATCCCGGACGAGTCCCCAAAATGTTACACGCGACCGTCTCGCGCGTATCGGGTTCATGAAATGAGCTAACGCAACACTTTTATAAAAGCTACGTTTTACTTCTAATATTTACAGAGATATTTACAACTTTCTCACGCTCGAAGCAGAACTCGAGAATATGATCGCCACACGTCAGCCTTCGACGATGACTCGTGTGCGATTCTTCACTGTTGTTATTTTTCCATCGATTTTTCGACGTCCAGACAATCATTTTTCAACTGTCGAAATCAATACCAGATGCCTAAGGCTCGCGGACAACGCTGCCACACGCTTGTGGTACGGACACAACAGTATCTTGGATTGGAACATTGGTGAAGAACGAAACTATATCAAACTTACCAAGATGTTATTAGTTTCTGTCTTCATCTTTGTTATCTTCTTTATGAAATCCATTGAGTTCTTTATGTATGAGTCATTGAGCTCAGTGAGTTTCTGGAGGGGTTTTGTGAGATAGCGGGCTAGTTGGTAGGTAGGTCCACCGATATTGTTAACGATTGGGCGTAAGGGGACCCATTCCTTGCGAATCTTGGGAAGACCATACAATCTGGGTGCTGAAAATTCTCGGAGAGTTAAATATTTGATAATTGACGCAGGGAGGCCTGAGTTTTTGAGCAAAGTAATTGTTTTCTTTTCTAAGCTCGAGGTTGGGTTGCGTTTAAGTTTCTTGTAGACTTTGTGGTCTGAGAGCATAGTATTCACTTTGTTGCAGTACTCTTCCCTGTCCATAACTACTATGGCGTTTCCTTTGTCGGCTGGTAGGATTAGGATCTTGTTGTTCTCCTTTAAGTTTTTGAGTGTTAGGCGTTCCTTTCGACTTGTGTTCTGTACTTTGGCCTTGCGGAGAATGTTGGCTATCCGATTTCTGATATCGTTGCTAGCTTCCGGAGTAAAATGGTCGATAGCTGTCTCCACTTGACTGATTATTTCCTCTGTGGGAATACTGGTTGGTGTAACTGCGAAATTGTGTCCTTTGGCGAGGACGGTGATCTCATAGTGAAGAATCTCATGGTGATGAAGATAGGGTTTGTTTGCTTAGATTCTTTACTATATCTGCGAGAACTGGGATTTGGGCTTGTGGATTGATTTTGTAGTATTTTTCTTTCTGCTTGCGCGTTTTTTCTCCAGCGGAGCGAACAGCTTGTTCGTGCGTCACTCGATCCAGTATCTGCCATAGTTCAGGATCTAGTTTACCTGCAAGAAAGAGGTGCAATTCTAATAGTTTTTGGGAAATTTTAGCCAAATTTTTCTTAGTAGCCGAAATTCTTTTCTTGACTAACTTTGATGACGTCTATCGTAAAATTCCTTTGGCCTGGATTGAGGATAGAAAAGGGTTTTTAATTGAAAACATTTTGGTATTACCTGGTAGTCACGGCATCGTTTTAGAAATGTTAGAGAGCACAATTGGACGTGCAAGGACTTTCTAAGTTTATTCTAAGGTTATTCTAGGGTCGGTGAATAAGTTCACCGACCCTAGAATAACCTCTCCGCAGAGGTTCTTAATACTAGTTTTTAGACTTTCGCGGCTATTTATACAATCAGGGTGTGTTTCTTCCGGATGGATACCGCGTTGTAATTCAGCTTTGTGCTGACCAGCTGGTCAATTAATATGATTGGTCCAAACACTTCCCCTACTCTGTTCCCCATTTCTCCTAACCCCCACTTAGGAGAATGGAAGAGTATATAAGGACAACCACAAACCAGGAAGACTCAATATCGGAGCTCCTAGCTCTGATGATACAAGTTGTAATGTTTGCAAACGTCAGCACAAAGCTGAATTACAACGCGGTATCCATCCGGAAGAAACATACCCTGATTCTATAAATGGCCACGAAAGTCTAAAAACTAGTAATGTAAGGATATATTTATATATACTGGTTTTTTATTTGTACTAAAAATATAAGTGTATTTAAAATTTTTTAATATTTAATGTTTAATTTATTTTTCATTGTAATAAATAAATTTGTATTTTGGGTTTAGGTAGGGACGAACTCAACCTGTCTCAACCGAGTCCGTTAAACGGCTATGGAAGTAATTCCGGAGTAAGCGGAAATAGCGGTGGTAATGGCAATAATAATTGCAACAGTAATAGCAACAATGGCAACAGCAACGGCAGTAGCAATGGCGGCAGTGGCGGTGGTAATGGCAGTGCCGGTGGCGGTGGTGTAGGTGGAAGCGGCAATGGTGAAGGATGCGACGCAAAGAAAAAAAAAGGACCTACACCCCGTCAACAAGAAGAACTATGTCTTGTGTGTGGTGATCGTGCATCCGGTTATCACTACAACGCCCTCACTTGTGAAGGCTGTAAAGGCTTCTTTAGACGTAGCATTACCAGAAACGCCGTGTATCAGTGCAAGTATGGCAATAATTGTGAGATCGACATGTACATGCGTCGCAAATGCCAGGAATGTAGGCTAAAGAAATGCCTGACGGTCGGCATGAGGCCGGAATGCGTTGTGCCCGAGTACCAATGTGCAGTAAAAAGAAAGGAAAAGAAAGCACAGAAGGTAGATCATATTTTAAGATATCCTACATTTTATGCATTCTGCACAACAGTCCTCTTCTTTTTCAAATATGGCTTTATTTTTGCACATAAATCTAAAATATATATATTTTTTTAAAGAATGCTTGTATGTGATATAAAAATTTCCTTAGAAAACTGTAACATAAAACATTACAGAAATATTTAATATTGATTTGTGTGATAAGTAATTTCGGATTTTCAAGTAAAATGAAATGATTGTATTTTTATATTATTATAATTTTATGAGGTAATGCAGCAGTTTTAATGTTTTATGATCTTTTATTTTTAGTGCAGTTTTATGATCTACTATTTTTCTAGTAACTTCATGATTTCCCTCCTATAAAACTTCTCTGGCTTTTCAAAAATTGCTCGAAAACTGCTCTAGTTTTTACATGTCTATATAGAATCAAATTTATTTTTTTATCAAAAATTATATTTATTCCCATTGAGAAAATTTTGCAACGATCTAAACAGGTGAGTCTGAGGTTGTTATATCTGGAAAGTATGTTGGGTGTGGTAGAACATCCCAGCCGAGCTATATTTTGTACTATACTGTAATTTGTATTATATTACTAAAGAGACATGAGGTCTGACATTGTTATGATAGAAAATAACACCCATACTATGGATTAGTTCCGGGTGTTTCTTTTCTGTAGTTACCTTTGTTGAGTTGGTTTGCAATATTTATTGAAATGAAATGATTTTAATCCGCGAAATGAGTTCGTAATATACAATATCCTTCCAATCTCATCATATACAGAGCATTATCTTCTTTAGATAATAGCCAACCTTAGAATCATATTTAGTATCATCCCACTTTTCCTAGAGTTTTTTATGCTTGGTATTATCCAGTGATGATCCAGTTTTTATTGCTTGTCAACATACATTTTAAAAATGGGGCTATTTTGTTATGCTTGCATCATATGTCACAGATGCTGATACGATCCATTAAGTTTTTCTCCGACAAATTATGTGGTAGTCAAATATCAAGCCGGTTAACATAACTAAGCTTTTCTTAAATGCAACAATTTTATTATACATTTTTAATATCTCTGCTATCTCTCGAGTTGTTGCGTGTCGATTATTTTGGATTAATATTCTGATTTGATTGATATCTGTCGTCATCGGTTCTTTAGAACGTTTTCTTCAAGTGTTGTGTCACGAAGCACGAAATTACGCGAATCACATTTGACACGCGCAATCATATCTTCTCCGTATACAAATCTCCTCTTGTTACATTTTTCTCTTTTTAGAAATAAAAAAGCAAATAGAAAAAATACTTTATTTCGCTTAATTTTAATATTAAAACTAAATTCATAGGACTCAGTCTATTGAATGAGTGCAAAAGTTCATGCCCGATATTTCATTCTTCGAAACTGAAGTAATTATTTAGTATATAAAAATTTTTTATGAATTAATAATGTAATCATCGTGGTTTCCTACAATCTTAATTTTTTTATATCATACGGATACCTCGATCATAAAACAACTTCAGTTTTGTGTTGAGAAAGGAAGAAAAGTGATTTTCTGATGGATTTCAAACATTTTTTTTCCGTTTGTTGCAATGATCGAAACAAATGATAGTCTATGATGGTACTATATCAAGAAAATACGGTCAGTGCGATACATTAGATGTGTAAATTAATTCAGTCCATCTGGCGATTAATTGCTGTATTATGTAATTTTCTAACCTCTAATGTCTGCAAAAGGCTGTATTTTTTAGTTTTGATATCTGTCAATAATATTCAGTTGATAAACGTTTGGGTTTGTAACAATAACATCGTATTTAATTAATATTTATTTAATCGGAAATGTCGAAATTCAAGCCAAAAAAGCATAATTTCCGGGAAGTTCTCATTTTCTGTTTTCATTTGAGAAAAACAGTCGCTAAAGCTCATCGAATGCTCGTAGAAGCTTATGGTGAAAGTGCTCCCACCGATAAATCATGTAGAGAATGGTTTTGACGTTTCAAAAGTGATGATTTCAGTGTCGATGATAAACCTCATCCAGATCAGCCGAAGAAGTTCGAGGACGAGGAATTGCAGGCGCTAATTGATGAAGATCCGTGTCAATCGCAACATGAGTTCGCGCAATTGTTGAATGTTGATCGATCAACAATTTCTGTGCGTTTGGCAGCCATGGGAAAGATTTATAAAGAAGAAAGATGGGTGCCATACGAAAGAACTGAAAGAAAGAGACATCGAGAGGCGAAAAGCCATGTCTGAAATCTTGCTTGCCAGGCAAAAAGAAAAAGTTTTTTGCATTGTATTGTGACTGGAGACCAAAAGTGGATATATTTCGATAATCCCAAACGAAGGAAATCCAATAGCGACTCACCACAGGGAAACCATCCACATCGATACCAAAGCGGAATATTCACGGCAAGAAAGTAATGTTCTGTATATGGTGGGACCAGAAGGGTGCAATATATCATGAACTATTAAAACAGAGCCAAATCATCACTGCCGAACTTTACCAACAACAATTGATCCGTTTAAACAACGCATTGAAGAAGCGGCCGGAATATGCAAAGAGACACGACAAGTGATCTTCCAGCACGATAACGCTCGGCCACATGTTGGAAAGATTGTGAAGGCCACCTTGGAAGCACTTGGCTGGGACGTTTTACCTCACTCGCCGTATTCACCAGACATTGCTCCATCCGATTATCACTTGTTCAGACCGATGGCACACGGGCTTTCGGACCAGCACTTCAATAATTATGAAGATATAGAGAAATGGCTCAATGAATGAATCGCTTCGAAGGACAAGTCGTCACGGAATATAACAACTGCCAGACAGATGGGGAAAAATAATAGCAAGCGATGGCAAATACTTTGATTAGTGTACTTTTTCATGTTTTTTCATACCGAAGTCTTTTTTTGGAAGAAAAACTGACCGAATTAATTCACACACCTAATAGTTAAATCATATCTCTATCTTTGTTTAAATTGAAGGAAAAACAAAGATAAACATATGATTTAGCTATCAGTTAAGTTACTAAGAATTTGGAACAATCGACCCTAAAAGTATCAGTGGTCCCAATCGTTGGACATATATGCAATCCTAAGCTGTCACAAGAAAAATGAGGTTAGTGTCACGTAGTGTCGCCTTTTAACGTGTAAATGTGAACGGATTTTTGTATATTTATAATATCTATAATATTTGCATTGTTTGTAAGACACAATTGTTTGCATGTGCGATTTTTTACCTTTACGGAAAAAACACTCAAATATTGAGTATCTACATTCAGTTATTCGAATTTACTCTCAAATGTGAGTATATATATTCAAATTTAAGTGTATATATCTACATTTGAGAGTAAATTCGAATAATTGAGTATAGATATTCAATATTTGGGTGTTTTTTCCGTAAGGATATAATGTCAATCAACGATTTATCTTTATTTATAAATATACAAATATCTATATTATTACTTGAACGCAGCGTGGTTAGCGGGTGAAGAGCGCCAGATTCGTAATCCAGGGAAACCGGGCCGAATCCCGCTAGGCCACTAAAAGAGAATTGCGCTCTCTAGTCGTAAGAAGTAACCCTAAATGGTAAACTGGGCTGCTCCGTCTTTCGGAAGAGACATTAAACAGTGGGTAGGTCCACTCATGGTCAATCATGGACCCATCATGAGTACTTCAGTGCGTTACTGACTTATGTAAGAAACATTCACTCTCACGTCGACATGTATCGGCTACCTAAGCCCGACTAGCAACCGACTATTAAGGAACTTAAAAATATGCTCACAGTTTTAGTATCCGGTCCCGGAACTAGATACAAACAGAATTATAAGTCCTATTAAAAAGAGGAAGAAGAAGATTATTTCTTGTTAGCACATATTCATTTTCTAATTGCGGTCAGACTCTGGGATAAATTATGTCCGAACATTGAGCCATAACTTGTTTCAACTAACCAGTCACTAGTACATTAATGCACTTCATTACTTATATAAATATTTTATTAACAATAGATATATACATTAGTTTAAATCATTTTTCTCTACTTAAGGCAATCTTAAGTTTTCGAATAAATGCAAATATTTACATCAAAGCTATTCTTAATATTATATATTGTATTTTTTGTGACGACCTACGCTTAAACGTCCGATCATTAAAACATTTACCTTAAAATTATTATAAACCTATCTTTTCTGATACATATCTAAATTTTTACCAATCATTATCTCATGGCACGGTCATAAGTTTATTTGATAAAGTGTTTCTTTTGTCGTATCTTAAGTTCCTTCAAAAGAATTAAAAGAATATCAATATCATGATATCGATTTTACTCGATAACAGTTATCCCATAAATTTTATTTTCAAGATAGCTTATGACAGACTATTTATCTTTTTCAGAAAGAAATCACATGTACTTACAAGTAAACCTATCCAAGTGATGTACTTCGATTTCTTTGAAATTTGGCACAAATGTAGAGCTACGAAAAATATTAAGATCTATCTATCTATCTTTTTATTTTTGTCCATTTTTAATATCTTAAAGATATTTTATTATCCTTCAATTTTTGTTCTCTTGTCATCAATATGCACAAAAAAATACATGAGGAACAAAATTGAATATAAGACGTTTGTGGATCGCAGATTATGAATATGAAGTTAAATGTACAAAATTATTTGTTTAAATAATAAAATGTTTAAATAAAGTATCTAAAAAGTTAAACAAAGTATGTATCTCAGAAATCACATTTCATTGAAAAATGTTTCATAGAAAAATTTTGTAGTGGATATAATATGGTGTTATTAGTTTATTTTTTTTAAATTATTCGAAGGTCACATGAAGGTCGCTTTGAAATTTTTAAACGTGAACTCCCATTTTTCATTATATAAGTTTATAGCTTATCTCTAGAACTTCTGAAAACACTATAATAAAGTGTTTTCGTGAAATACTTCTCAAATTGGACTTGAAAGGATTGAAAGTTACACTACCACCGACATTAGCATTACCCAAGATATACCA